TCAGCCATTCCTAAACAGTTTTATCCAATATTGAAAAATAACAACTCAGTATTTAATAGCGAAATAAAACTCTCATATAAACTGAATAATAATTTACTCATAAAAAGAGATAGTAATAAAGTGGTAACCTTTGAAGATATCAAGTTAAAGAACATAGAAAAAATATTGAACAAGACAATAATTCCAAAATGTCAAGAAAAATGGGAAAATATTTATCAAAATAACATACAGTGGGACCTAGTTTGGAACAGTATTTCAAAATTGAAAGTTAAAAATAAAATTCAAGAATTCCAATGGAAATGCGTGCATAACATATTGTATACTGAAGATAAATTATGTAAAATCGGACTATCCAATGGTTTATGCAACTTGTGTAAAAATCATAAAGAAAATCAACAACACCTCTTTTTCCATTGCGCAAAAGTGAAAACAACACTCAAGTTACTAGAAGATATAATTGAAAATGTACTACAACTAAATGGAACTTTACAAATTGACCAACAAACAATAATATTAGGATACTTGAAGGAACCGAAAACCCAAAGAACCGTTATTAACATTTTAATATGTATTTATAAATGGGTCATATGGAAAACAAGAAATAAAATTAAATATGATAATTTAAAAATAACTGACTACAGTATTAAAAATGCATTCAAAAATGAAATGAAATCGAATTTTTTACTATTACAATCACAGGATTTGACAAAATTCAAAGAGAAAATAAATCATATGTTTCAAAATTCCTTGGGATTCTAATACCATGCAGTTATAGGGTTATTGGCATTATCTGCTGCCGTGATAAATTATACATACATGTATTCACATTCATTAATTAACTATATGGCACACTAGGTTTTTGTTTTTTTTTCTCTCGGTATTATCTGCTGCCGTGATAAACTATATATACATGTATTCACACATAGAAGTCCACTATACGGCACACTATTTTTTTTTTATTTATTTATTCCTTTTTTGCTATGTTATTTTTCATGTAACTGGAAACATTATGTTTAAAATATGTTCAAAATGAATAAATTAATAGATCATCAAATGAAAATGTAATGCCAGATTCAAACTATGTATGTGAGGAAAAATATTCATGTCTTTGTAAAATTCATTCATTCTGATGTATTATTATAATCTAATTTTATTATCACAAAACTCTACATATTGATCTTGTTTATAGGTTGTAAAACACAAAAAGACCCGTATTTGAGGGTGACCTGGCCCTAAATACTAGTTACAGTGAGATTGATATAGACTTCTTTCTTTTTTTTCCACACAATCTCCACTGCAACAAGGGTCATATTTCTATTGGTGTTAAATGCATACCTTGTTATTATATATAAAAATGGTGCTAATTTGCTTTGAGATATTTATGTATATGTATGAAAATGAAGCGTCAATAATCATATATTAGTATAATGGTGTTAAACGTATACTTTGTTATCATATGTAAAAATGGTGCTAATTTGCTTTGAGATATGTATGAAAATGAAGTGTCAATAATTTTATATTATCATAATGTGAAAAAATTCTGTTCAAATTTTGGAGATATATTACATAATACTATATCGATCCAGGGAGCTCCTGGCACCCCTGGTGAGGTATTATCAGAGGGCTTCTGCGGAAGTTTTACCTCTCTGTTATATTGTATGTTATTGAATAAATAATTGGGAAAAAAAAAAAAAAAAAAAAAAAAAAGTTTTTGGTGCAGGTTTCATTTCCAAGTAACTATAAGCCCTATGTTGCCCAAACGTGCATGGATGATACATCTAAGGATGCATACTACCAGGCTTGCTTCGGATGCTGAATTTGACCTACATTTTCCGGTTGATTGAATAGGTTAAAGTTTTTGGTGCAGGTTTCATTTCCAATTAACTATGAGCCCTATTATGAGCAAACTTGCATGGATGAAACATCTTAGGATGCACACTAATGGACTTGCTTCGGATGCTGAATTCGACATACATTTTTCAGATAATGGGCCAAGTAAAAGTTATTGGTGCAGGTCTATTACCAAAAATCTATAATGCTTATACATGTATAATATTGTATAAAACAAACTTGCACAAATGATGCATTAAGGGATGAAAACTCAAATTTGCGTCCGATGCTGGATCTTAGTGACATTTTCATGATGAGGAACTAGTTTAAATTTTTTATATAGATTTTTTCAAAGTATCGGATTAAAATTGCTTAAATATTTTCAATTTTGGAATGTACACTTTTTGTTGGTTAATTGTGTGACTTAGCCTTACTTAACCCATTTCCTTCGTGGTACGACTGTTATCGTCATGTGTGCTATCTTCGGCGTACCACTACAGTCGTTGTTTTCATACAAGCGTCTTAGAGGCCCTTGAATTACTATGTAAAAGCCCCGTATGAATAAAACGTTTGCATGATTTAGACAGTGGGAATTTCCCTTGCTCATGCGCATTAAAAATGAAACTAGATACCTCTTTTTTGGGGGAAATTTTGGTTAAAACTTTCATTTTACAAGGGGAAGGAAATCCGAGTCACTGACGCGATCGTAGTTTCAAAATGGCGGACAGAGAAGAAGGACTGAGCGATGGTAGTGATATTGAGGGAGATTATGAGGAACAAGAGGAGAATATTGCAGATGTAGAAAGAGAGATCATTCGTGGAGATGTTGATGATTGGATACACAACATTTTTCAGGAGGACAGCAATGACGAAGCCGATTTTTTAGGCTTTCAGAGCGAGTGGACGTCTGAAAATTTTCATCCACGTATTGGAAATGTCTTCAGAAAAATCGGTGGCGCAACAGTTGAACATCCGGAAGAGGCGTCAGCCGGCCAGTACTTCGAGTTATTTTGGACTAACGAACTTCTAGACAGGTTAGTTCAAGAAACGAACAATTATGCACAACAAGAGCGAAAAGAAAACCCCACCCCCTCCGTTTGCTCCAAAATGGACGCCCGTTGACAAGTCAGACATCAAGGCGTTTTTAGCCCTATGTTTTGCTATGGGCATCCTCAGATTGCCAGACAAAGCTGACTACTGGAGGCAAAACAGATGGATGTTTGTAACAAATTTCAACAGAGTGATGTCCAGGGACAGATTTTTTTTGATCTGGAGATACCTCCATGTCCAGAATAACGAAATTCAGCCAGACACACCCGACAAATTGTGGAAGATCCGTTATTTATTGGACTTCCTAAATAAAAAATTTGAAGAAATGTATGTGCCCTATGGGAATGCGACGGTAGATGAAAGTATGATCAAATTTAAGGGCAGATTATCGTTTCGGCAATACCTACCCGCAAAGCCAGTAAAATGGGGAGTGAAAGTCTGGGCACTTGCTGAAAGTGATACCGGATACTTGAGCAAGTTTCAAGTATACACAGGGAAAGAAAATAACCAAGAAAAAGGACTTACTCATAGAGTTGTAATGGACCTGTGCCATCATTATTTTGGATCCAACTTGTGTGTCTACATGGACAATTTTTACACAAGTCCGGAACTTCTGAACGACCTTCACATCAGGGGAATCATGGCTTGTGGAACGGTACGTGTGAATAGAAAAGGTCTTCCTAAACACCTACTACCAAGCAAAGTTGGTCTTCAGAAACATGAATTCAAGGTTGCCCAGAAAGACAACCTGACTTACTGTGTATGGCAGGACACTAAACCAGTGACGGTACTTTCCAACTTCCATGATCCAACCCACCGTGGTCAAGTTTCAAGGAGAGCAGCTGAGAATCGTGTCGTTCAAGTCCCACTCATGCTGGCTGATTATCAAAAGAACATGAAAGGAGTGGATCTCTGTGATCAAATGGTGGGGTATTACCAGCTAAACCACAGGTCAAAGAAATGGTGGCGCCGCATATTTTTTTACTTGATGATGGCATCGGCCCATAACGCATACATTGTCGCCAAGGACATTCACACCCACGCCGCGAGGGAGAGGTGGCCAGGATTCCAGGACTTTATCGAGGAACTGGTGGAAGATCTGATTGGTGACACCAGGGCTAGAAGGGAGCCACCAAAAGTTGACTGTGGGGGCAGGGCTACTGCCCACGACATTGTGAAAATGTTCCCAAAGAACAAGGTGTGTTGTGAGTGTTCACTTTCTGGGCCGCAGGGACAGGGAAAAGGAGTAACAAAATTTGGGTGCCAGCAGTGTGGTGTTCCAGTGCACTTAGAGTGCAGCTCAAAACATATTATGAGAATGTTGAACAAGTGAATTGTGCTTAGGAATGTTTGTTCAAATGGATAATTCTGAGGACTTAGTGTTGGTTTTTTTTTCATAAATTTTATGTAAGTACATTGAAGTTTGAACTTTTTAAAATAGATATTTCTTTTTATTCATTATCTTACAATATAAATACTTTAAAAACAGATTGTTATAGTTAAAATTTGTTGTTAAAATAATTTTTTTCTTGGCTATAGTAAATTTAAAGCAAAGCAAATAAATGATGTTTATGTCAAGAAATACTCCATTTTCAAGAAATGTAATAACTTTTTTATTTTTCAAGATATTTTTATTCTGTGAACTGTATTTGAAGCAGAAATATTTGTTTTATGAATTTATGCAAAAAAAATGTGCTGTTTACATTCACTTTATTTGAGTAAAATGCATGTAAATAAAAATAATTTAAAACAAAAAATTGTGTTTACAAATTTTCTTTTATTTACTCAAAGTATTATTGAGGATAATATTGCTTCTCATTCTGAAAATTATACTGTAAGATGCAGAATTTTAAGAGCTTTTAGAAAATATATACTTTATTATGTCTCTAGACAGTAGTTATCTAATTATTCGGCAGAATGTAAGCATGGTGCTAATTGACTTAACATTCTCAGCAGCAGCTCTGTTATCCTCCGTACTACTGATAAGCCCAGCTGAATTGGCTGCAGAAGGAAATGGGTTAAAGACAACATTCATTGAGGTGAGCTCTGTAGTCTCTGATTACCTATGTTTATGTTTATTTTAATTGTTTTCTGTAAAACTGTTCATTTCCACTATTTAGGAGAATCTGGAGTTGGCAAGTCGGCCATTATTAACCACATGTTAGGCAGACTGGGATAAGATGGTGCAACATCCACTAAGAGTGGCACCGTGCTGGGTCAGATCCTCAGCTACTCAGACAAGACCAACACGCTACTGGAGAGTATCTCAAAACTCACAGAAATGGACAACAATGACTAGTCCAAATGTATCAACGTCCTTCTGGGAACGACCAAACCTAAAAGTTCTGCTGGAGTGATCAGTTTTATGTTTCAGTTCTCAGCTCAGACGACAGCAGCTAGACTTAAGGCTCACATCATGCACAAACTCATCAAGAAGGGCAGGGACACTGGGGGCTCCCTGGGGGAAAAAGGTGCTGGTGTTTGTGGATGATTTGAACATGCCGGCCGCTGAGGTATATGGAGCCCAGCCACCCCTAGAGTTACTGATGCAGTTCTTGGAACTTGGTGGATTTTATCATGCTGGGAAAGCTCATCTTGTATGGGAGGTATGAAAATAAATACATGTATCATTATGTGTGTAAATCTAGTGTAGAACAATGAAATGTATATCCAAAGTTGCAGAAGTGACTTTGAGTGTTTCTTAGTTTGTAAGTTGGGCTTATTTAACTTGTGAAATACGTAGTCTAGTTTTACTGAACACTGAGAATATATGAATTTTAGGATATTTATGACGTCCATGTGGTGGCAGCCTGTGGACCACTAGGTGGAGGCAGGAACCCCATCCGTTCAAGGCTCCTAAAACACTTCAGGTCAGGCAGCTTTCTAACTCTGAATGTATAATATCTAAATCCCCTCTAGACCATCTCTCAGTTTAGAATTGGTGTTGAATATGGAATATAAAGTGTTTGTGCAATATTTGTATATGGTGTAGTGCATGTTACAGAAATATTTGTTTTTATTAGCTCACCTGAGCCTAAGGCTCAAGTGAGCTTTTCTGATCAAAATTTGTTCGTTGTCTGTCATTGTCGTTGTTGCAGTAATTGTTGTAAACTTTTCACATTTTCATCTTCTTCTCAAGAACCACTGGGCCAATTTCAACCAACCTTGCTACAAAGTATCCTTGGGTAAAGGGGATTCAAATTTGTTCAGCTGAATGGCAACACCCTCTTCCAAGGGGAGATAATTATGAATTAGGAAAAATTAATGGCATTTTTAAAAAATCTTCTCAAGAACCACTGGGCCAGAAAGGATGAAACTCATGTGAAATCATCCTCAGGTAGTGTAAATTTAAGATTCTTCAAATCATGACACTCAGGGTAGGGTGTGGCCACAATGGGTCATCAAAGTTTTACATAGGAATATATAGGAAAAATCTTTAAAAATCTTCTCAAGAACCATTGGGACAGGAAAAATGAAACTCATGTTGAATCATCCTCAGGTAGTGTACATTCAAGTTTGTTCAAATCGTGACCCCCCTGGGTAGCCACAATGGCCAATCAAAATTTTACATAGGAATATACCGGGTAAAGGTAAAATTTCAAAAAATTTTCTTCTCAAGATCCATAGGGACAGGAAAGATGAAACTTATGTTGAATCATCCTTAGGTAGTGTACATTCAAATTTCTTCAATTCATGACCCCTTGGGGTTGGGGTAGGCCACAGTGGCTGATTAAAGTTTTACATAGGAATATAAAGGGAAATCTTTAAAAAAAAATTCTCAAGTACTGATATTTATGTGGAAGCATCCTTGGGAAGTGTAGATTCTAGTTTGTTCAAATCATAACCCCCTGGGAATAGGGTGGGGCCACAATGGGGGATCCAAGTTTTACATTAGAATATATTTTAAAAATCTTCTAAAGAATAGCAAAGCCATGATTAGTGATATTTATATGAAACATCCTCAGGTATTGTAGAATTAAATTTGTTCAAATTATACATTTAACCCCCAAGGGCAGGGAAAGCTCTCAATAGTGGATCAGAGTTTTACATTGGAAAATAAACGGAAAATCTCAATAACAGAAAAGCTTTGTTTAGTCATATAAGCAAGTGTGACTTTTCAAAAATTGCAAAGTGTTGACCTAGGGTCAGGGGTTCATGTGTGATAGGGGCACTACTGATTATTCAAATGCCTAAAACTTTCTTAGTTCTTAATAATACACTAGGGTGAAATTTTGAATATGAATAGATATAATGAATGCCTACATTATGCTACTAACAAAAGTAAATGCAAGGACGTGCATGCACATGCGCCCGCACAAAATGCATTAAACCAGGGGTAGACAAATAGAATTTTGCAGTACTTGCCCTCAGACAGGTTACCATCGTAAAACTACTTGTCCTACCAAAAAATATGCTTGTCCCAACTTTTTCTTAAATAACATAGAATTCAAGCATTGATATTAAATTATTTCTTTTGAGTGAGACACCAAAACACTACATGAAGACCATCCTAGATCTAAAATCGCGAAATTCTTCCACAGATAAATTTAGAGGAAAATGTTTAATTTAAACGTGTTTAAGGAGTATTCCTCCTCAAAATTCTGCAATAAGATACACCTTTCTTTAAATTAATGTATTTATTTAATGAAAAAGGTAAAGATATCGAACTTTGATCAATCTCATAAAACCCACAAACAACACGAATCTGTGAATTTAGGCATCTAAAGTTTTAACCAATCAGATTGCAGCACACGTCCATGTGCGTGCGTTTATGATTATTCTTATATATCACACTGTAGATCTTCATAATGTATGACGATGTTCAAAATTTCAAAGGATTTTGTCAGAAAACAAAAAAGATATTTTGACTTTTAGTTTCAGCCAATCGGAGTGAAGCGCACGTGCATGCACGTGAGATCTTGCTATTTTTACCATGTCATCATGTCTTTACTACTGATATATCCTTGTATTATGAATTTCAAAGCATTTCATCAAAAATTAAAAAAGTTAAGGCTATATCTATTAAATTGGCCATTGCACGTGTCACACGTGTGCGCACATGCACGCACGTGAGCGCAAAATGACCTTCGTTCCGCACATCTACATAACATAGCTAGTGACCCTAAAATGGTTTCACCTAGATCGGATGAGTAGTTTACGAGAACACATGCAGACAAATAGTACCGGAGAACAAAATTCAGAAAAGAAAATTCAGAAAAAGTAAAAACAATATGTTCCCAAACTTCGTTTGGGGAACATAATTATGGAGATTTATTGACAGTTGGAGCATGTTATATGGAAAATTTTAACTGGTTGGGATTTTTATAGCAAAAAACGAGTGAAAATACGTACCAGCTGTGCTTTTCATGTATTGCATGTGTAATAATATTATTTTTTTTAATTGCCAACGGGGCGACCTACTTGCAGAAAACCACTAGCCCGACCTCCGGGTGTCGGTCGATTTTCATTGCAGACCTCTGATTAAAAAAGAACTATCAGTGCATTTATTATTATTTTATTTTTTTTTTTTTTTTTTACAAAAGTCCGTTTTCAATAGGTATATGTTTATGTGGACTACAGATTTCCTTTCCTTGACTTTAAATAAATTCTACAACTGCATAATGTACGTATGAAACATGACAAACAACTTACAAAGCTTTTTTTCAATGTGGTGCAACAAAATAGTAAGACTTACTGCATTTGCTTTTTGTGTTTCTGAATTTCCTCACTGCTCATACGAAGTGTCCAAACACAGCTACTTCCGTATTCTGCGCATACGCAGTTAGTTTTAAATATGTATGCATGCTCAGATATTCGGAACTCTTCAAATCAATTACCAAACTCCTCTAAACAGCAGTTTTCTGAATGTCTCAGCGTTTTGGGCTAAGGACATGTCCAAAAATTTGGACAAAGTCTTGTGAGGTTAAATCTAATTTTAGGTTTTTCAACCTCAGAGAGTAATGTCCATCTGTCTAGCTGTCTGTCCGTCTGTAAACTTTTCAGGTTTTCGACTTCTTCTCAAGAACCAATGGGCCAATTTTGACCAAACCTGGTACAAAGCATCCTTGTGTGAAGGGGAATTTATATTGTTAAAATGAAGGGCCAAGTCCCCTCACAAGGGGAGATAATCAAGAAACGACAAAAATAGAGTGGGGTTATCAAAAAATCTTCTTCTCAAGAACCACTGGGTCAGAAAAGCTGAAACTTATGTGGAAGCATCCTGGGGTAGTGTAGATTCTAAATTGTAACAAGCAAATTCAAAGAATTGTGGTCCCCCGCTTTCGCTGTCTTTGTTGGTGAGATGTTATTTTTTATGACATATTGTGTGTAATAATATATGAACATCCTATCATATGTCATTTATTTAGAAAGTAACATTGAAGTTGATTTCTTTTGAAGGTTATGGTCAAGGTTAAAGTTTTTTCATAAGTACATAAATCTCCAAGGTAAAGGTCAAAAGGTCAAGGTTGTTGGTATCCAATGAAATGTCTTGCCACAAGGAATACATATGTGAATTATAAAAGTCCTAGTATCTACTGTTTAAAAGTTGTGACCAAGGTTAAAAATTTTTGAAGTAGTTAAAACTTCAAGGTCAAGGTCAAAGGGTAAAAGTTATTGGTATCCAATGAAAGGTCTTCTCACAAGGATTACATATGTGAAGTATGAAAGCCTTAGTCCTCACTGTTCAAAAGTTATGGTCAAGGTTAAAGTTTTTTCATAAGTACGTAAATCTCCAAGGTAAAGGTCAAAAGGTCAAGGTTGTTGGTATCCAATGAAATGTCTTGCCACAAGGAATACATATGTGAAATATAAAAGTCCTAGTATCTACTGTTTAAAAGTTGTGACCAAGGTTAAAAATTTTTGAAAGTAGTTAAAACTTCAAGGTCAAGGTCAAAGGGTTAAAGTTATTGGTATCCAATGAAAGGTCTTCTCACAAGGATTACATATGTGAAATACGAAAGCCTTAGTCCTCAACATTCATAAGTTATGGTCAAGGTTAAAGTTTTTTCATAAGTACTTAAATCTCCAAGGTCAAGGTCAAAAGGTCAAGGTTGTTGTTATCCAATGAAAGGTCTTACCACAAACAATACATATGTGAAATATAAAAGTCCTAGTATCTACTGTTTAAAAGTTGTGACCAAGGTTAAAGTTTTTGTTAAGTAGTTAAAACTCCAAGGTCAAGGTCAAAGGGTAAAAGATATTTATATCCAATGAAAGGCCTTCTCACAAGGATTGCATATGTGAAGAAAGAAAGCCTTAGTCCTCAATGTTCAAAAGTTATGGCCAAGGTTAAAGTTTTTTATAAGTTTGTAAATCTCCAAGGTCAAGGTCAAAAGGTCAAGGTTGTTGTTATCCAATGAAAGGTCTTGTCACAAACAATACATATGTGAAATATGAAAGTCCTAGTTCTTACTATTCAAAAGTTATGGCCAAAGTAAAAGTTAAGAATTTTTGTGTAAAAGTGGGTCAAACTCCAAGGTCAAGGTCAAAAGGTCAAATTTAGTGGTACCCAAAGAAAGGTCTTGTCACAAGAAATACACATGTGAAATATGAAAGTCATAGCTCCACTAAATCAAAAGTTATGGGCAAGGTTAAAGTTTTTGTGACGGACAGACAGACAGACGAATGAGATTTAATGTCCCCTCGCTTTCGCAAAAGCGGGGGACAAAAATCATGACCCCCGGGGATAGGGCGGGGCCACAATGGGGAATCAAAGTTTTACGTAGAAATATATAGGAAAAATAAACTAATTTAATAAGTACAGAGTTATGATGAGCAAGAGTGTCTATACCAAAATTGTGAATTTATGGCCCCAGGGTCAGGGATTATGATGTTAGGGTTGGGCTATATTGATTATATAGTGAAAATGCATTATTTCTTTGAAAATCTTCTTCTGTGTTCCTGAGTATTATATAATAATAATAATAATACTTTATTTAAAGAAGGTAGCCCGATTAGTGCACGCACTATTCTTCCCCAGGGCCTTCTGTAGACAAAAATCAATATACATACATATACAAATATACACAATCAAATAAATTATCATAAGTTATTTCGACATTGTTTTACAAATATTCTGACTTGATGTTTGAAAGCATTCAGTATTTGAGACATTTTTATATGTACAGGTAAATTATTCCATAAGATAGCACCAGAGTATTGAAAGGAGTTCTCAAAGTGTTTACAGTTATGAGCTGGTACACACAAGTCTAAATTAGATTCTGATCGAAGATTGTATTGATTATTACACTAGAAGTTAAACATATTATTTAAATAAGTAGGGTGAGAGTTAAACAATGATTTATATAACAAAACATATTTATTTACAATAAGTTGCTCATACACTGTGAGCCAATCTAGTTTCTCAAAAAGAGGTTGTGAGGGCGCATCAGGAGGAGCATCTAAAATACATCTTGCAGCGCGTTTTTGAAGCTTATATACTCTGTCAAGATTTGAGTGAGATGTATTACCCCAAATAGTTAGACAATAATCAATTGAAGGCATAATATATGCATTGTAAAACAGCTTGCGTGTTTGAATAGGAAGAAACTTTTTAATTCTATGGAGGGCAGAAATTTTACATGACAGTGTTTTACAAACATGGTCATACAAACTATGGTAATATGGTAATATAAACTAATTAAGTACATAGTTAATATGATGAGCAAGAGTGTCTCTACAAAATTTGTGAATTTTATGGCCCCTGGGTCAGGAATTCTGGTGTTTGGGTGGGGCTCTAATGACTATATAGTGAAAAATGCATTAAATCTTTGAAAATCTTCTTCTCTTAATGTCTTAGGTATAAAATAAACTTACTAAGTACATAGTTCTGATGAGCAAGAGTGCCTCTACCAAAATTGTGAATTTTAGGGCCCCAGGGTCAGGGATACCAAAGAGGGGGGGGCTCTACTTATACTGTAAACCAATTATTATACGCGTCATTTTTTATTCGCGACTGACCGCTAGAGAACAAA